CAAATAAATGCTGTTCTTTTGAACTTTCTGTTCATCAAAGTCTTCTGAAAAAAATGTATCGCGGTTTCCAGTAAAATATTTAGCAGCACAACTGTTTTAAACATTGATATTAAGAAATGTTTCTTGAGCAGCATATCAGAATGATTTCTGAAGGATCATGTGACACTGAAGACTGGAGTAATGATGCTGAAAATTCAGCTTTGCATCACAGGAATTATTTATATTTTAAAATATATTTAAAAAAAAACAAAGTTATAAGTTACTTATTTTAAAATGTAATAATATTTCACAATATTATTGGTTTTACTGTATTTTTTATCAAATAAATGCAGCCCTGGTGAATATATATATATATATTTTTTTTTTTAGTTCAAAAATCTTTTGGATAGTGTATAGTATATTTCATTCTGGTGATTTCACAGATTGAAAGGTGAAGATAATACGGTTATGAGAGACTATGTGCTGCCGGATTTCAGCTCTATCAAAAAGGGATTTTGCAAGGTAAGCAATTTAGTGTATAATAGTTCGAAAATGCTGTGCCTTATTTTTGTAAGAATTATGTCATGGTTCGAAAATGGCATACTAAAAAAAATTGAAACAGTACTTGCTTTTTTACTTATCCAGCAATTTGTTTTTCTTTATGTGCTGTAGCCTAGAGAGGAGATGAATTTTACTGGCAAATATAAAACTGCGGAGCAGATTTTGCGGCTCACCAATGAGAGGTTTGCAGTGCCAGAGATGCTCTTTCACCCCTCTGACATTGGCATTCAGGAGATGGGCATACCTGAGGCTTTGGTCAACTCCATTAACAACATGCCGGAAGGTAGGTTGCATCTCATTAGATGTATGTGTGGTTTAAAATGTTAAAACATTAAAAGTACTCTAATATAAGGCTCTTTTTATTTCCAGAGATGCAGCCCCACTTCTACAAGAACATTGTTCTTACTGGCGGCAACACCTTGTTCCCTGGATTCAGAGATCGGGTTTACACAGAAGTCCGGGCACTCGCTCCTGTAGAGTATCAAGTTTCTGTCGTTCTGCCACAGAAGTATGTTTTGAGGGTTCCGAAAGAATGATTGACATTCAAATTTTGTTAACTATGTAGACTGAATATCTGTCTTTTCTTCCCAGTCCTATTTGTTACCCATGGGAAGGAGGAAAGTTATTGGCTGAAAACCCTGACTTTGAAGAGATGGTGGTCACACGAGAGGATTATGAGGAAAATGGACATTATGTGTGCGAGGAGAAGTTTGATATCTGATGCATACGAATTGTCTGTCATTTTGTACAGAAAAATTGAACACTGCACATGTTTTGTATGAAAACTAAGCTGTACATTGGCGTACTATATATTACACTCAATATTACTCAAGTTAATAGGCCTTTTGACTTTAAATGTAATAATTTCGTTGTTTTCAGCCTTTTTTTAAAGAACTTTTTGTATATATTATATTAAGATGTGAACTGGAGAAACAAACTTATTTTTATTTACTGTTGTATTTTTTTACTGAATCCAGTTGATTATATGATAAATAATATGTGACCCTGGACCACAAAAGCAGTCTTAAGTCACTGGGGTATATTTGTAGCAATAGCCAAAAATACATTGTATGGGTCAAAATGATTGATTTTTCTTTTATGCCAAAAATCATTAGGATATTAAGTAAAGATCATGTTCCATGAAGATATTTTGTAAATTTCCTACTGTAAATATATTAAGACTTAATTTTTGATTAGTAATATGCATTGCTAAGAACTTAATTTGGACAACTTTAAAGGTGATTTTCTCAGTATTTAGATTTTTTTTTTGCACACTCAGATTCCAGATTTTCAAATAGTTGTATCTCAGCCAAGTATTGTCCCATCCTAACAAACCATACATCAATGGAAAGCTTATTTATTCAGAATTATTTAAAATAAAAAAGACCCTTATGACTGGTTTTGTGGTCCAGGGTCACATATATGTTTACGTTAAAGACTTGACTAGCCTAATATTTTATATTATGAAGTGCCTCTTTGATCATTAATATGAGGCACGTGAGTTGCGCGAGGTAAATCATCCTCTCGCGCTCAAAATAAAAACTGCGGGAAATCGCTTGAGAGACGCTGGAGTTCAAACTCATCAAACATTCTTGTTGGTTTCTGATTATAAATAAATTACAGTATTTTATAATCATTTCTCTAAATACTTGCAGCGTAATAACATACAGTAGTGGAAGTAAATACATTTTGGATAGTTTTCTAGACTGCCGTGATTGGTTATAGAGAGATCACACACTCGTCAGGTAAGTTAACGTTACAGATGATTCTGTGGAGAATTTATAAAGTAGCTTTTTTGTAAATAAAAATCGTTTTATATAAGATGGTATCTTGTTTAAATCGTTTTCAAATAATGTTTTAATTCATTAAAAATAAGCTGAAATCATGATTGATGAGACGTTACAAGAATGTCAGTTTTTCATTCTTCTGAATAATTATTTAATTTGATTGACAAGTTGGAGTGTGTATTTTGTTGCTGCTTATATTTAAATAGACCAGACTACAGCAAAATACACTTCATACAGTGAGACTATGGCAGCTTCCGGGAGAAAACAGAACAAGAAGACCAAACACACTGACGGCGCCACAGACCTGAAAGCCTTTGGCTTCGACACTCTGGAGGAAAAGAAAGGAAGTGGATCTGACGATGATACGAGAGATGGTGTGCCTGTGTATTCTTTCTATCATACCCGTTACAAAAAGATAATTGGTGGTACCATAGTAAAGTGATGGCAGTAGAGGTTATACCATGAGATATACATGGTATTTCAAGGCAATTAGAAATATGTGAATTTATTAACGGTAATAAAAGAGATATGATAATATTAAAGAATTATATTGAAATGATATAAGTATTTAATATGAATTATTTAATAAGTCTATATATACATATAACAAGTGGTGTAGCTGTGAAGCTTGTTTGTATGTTGTTCTCATTTTGTTATATTACATTAGAAACTCCAATCATTGACAAGCTGATCAAGAAAAGATCTGCAGATACATTTGATGATGATAACCTTAATGCAGGCGTGGGGTAAGTACTGAGATATATACACCTGGCCAAAGTTACGAAGCCCTTTCTCTGAATCGAGAAATCGTTTGTTGTCCTTTATCCCAGGAATGAGGTTCAAACTATGCTGGAAAGATTTGGTGGTAAGTGAAGCTCATATCTGATGCTTCCAACGATAATAAAATAATATTAGCCTATATTTCTGAATAAAGGTCCCTAAATGTTTGCTAAATGAATATCGCCGGCTGTTAAATGCTGTTTTATACTCATAAACATGCCTGAATGGCCATTTAGCGGACATCAGCAAAGCCATGCAGACCAAAAGGAAACGCTTGGAGGTTCTCACCAAAAACTCCCTAAAGGGCAGCACTCAGAAACTGGAGCAAATGTGGAAATCCCAGCAAAATCAGAGGTGAATCAATGCACTGTATGGAAAATGACACGTTCTTCTTTATTCACTCCTGCTTTGATGTTCAAAAACATAAATGTTTTGTATTTTTTTGCAGGCAAAAGCTGACACAAGATTATTCTCAGCAAGTTCTCTCTGTGCTTCAGCACTGGGGGACCGATGTTCAGAAATCTGAGGAGCAGGAGGAGAAACTGAACGTAAGTGCCAGACATATAAAAATGTAGCCAAGAAGTTGTAAAAGTTGAAATATGTCCTTTTGGGGCACGGCATCACATTAAGGGAAAGGAAACGTTATGAGGATTAAGGGTCTTGTGAAAAATATAATGCAACTTTCCGGGATATCTAGCAGCCATTTAGAGATATTTGCCGTAAACGTCTCACACTTTGCCTTTGAACTTCCTCATTTCTGTTTTCACAGAATTTGTTTCGGCAGCAGCAGAAGCTCTTCCAGCAGGCGAGGGTTGTGCAAAACCAGAAAATGAAAACCATCAAAGACCTGTATGAGCAGTTTGTCAAGGTCACAGATGCCGTCATCACTTTAATTAATTGAAATTGAACCAAGACCTTTTTTCATCATTTGGCTGACCGAGTGAGGTCTTTAATTTGTGTGCAGAACATGGAGGAGATGGAGAAAAGCCATGAAGCCTTCCTGCAGGGCACCCAGATGGAGCTGAGAAAGGAGATGACCCTGCTGCAGAAGAAGATAATGATGGACACAGTGAGTGCTTTAACAAAAAGATTTCACAGTTTAGACTCTGGGTATTACAAAGGTCTGCTTTAAATAGCCTTTCAGTGTGAAATGTGAGGAATGCTAAATTTTCAAGACAGGCTTGGTTTAGTTGTTAGAGCCCATTTATGAAAAAAAAAAAACTGACAGAATTTCTGTAAATAGTTAATAAAACCATTTTACACAGATTGTATATTCAGATCAATGTAATCATTTATGTAATGGTGATAATCATGATAATTGCACGTTTTATTTTATTTTTACAGCAACAACAGGAGATGGCCACTGTTCGGAAGTCCCTCCATTCCATGCTGTTCTGAAAACATCTTTCTGTTTTTATGTCACCATTGTAGAAGACTTAACCTTATGTTCTAAAAGGAAGGTTTGTTTTATTGAAAATGTATGTAGAAGGTGTCTGTATTTATTTTATTTTTTTTACATCACTTTGTTCATTTTAATTAATAATTGTATAATAATATGTAAATAATTTTTTCCAGTGTCAAGATTAAAGATCCCATAGAATCAATTTTCTTTTATTTTATTTTTTTTTTTTGAGGCATGTTGTTGAAACAGTTTGGACATACCAAAGCACTTTTTTCTCAATATAGAGAGAGTAAATCTGTGTAGTTCAAGATGAGTCATCAATATTTTGATACATTTTCCCAGAAAAGACAGACTGTAAATTTTAAATATGTTTATCTGCTAAATAAATTTATGAGTACATTAACATTTTGTGCAAGCTGACGGACATGCACAAAAAGTCACTATATATGTGTGTGTGTGTTTTAAGAATATATGATATATATGTGTTAAGAAAAAAACAAAACAAAAAAAATATATATATATATATAACATTTGAACAATATATGGCTGAAATATGAGGGTAAGTAAAAAATGTTAAATGTCAGGGTCCTTTAAATTCAAACCCAACTATCCATGTGCCGGAAGTGATGTAACCGGAAGAAAAACAAAGTTCTGTGGCGGTGTTTTCTATTGTGACTTCGCTATTCGCCGATGCGGTATCTAAGCGAAGATTTTTGCTTTTCGTAGTGGTATGTTTCGTAAAGATGGTGGGTAAAGTTAACATATTTTAATTTCGCAATAAAAACACGTTGTTTTTGTAAACTATGGCCATATAGGTGATCTTAATGTAATGTAGCTTGCTAACCGGTTACCAGCTTCTTCGATTAACGTTAAACGTCGAATCCAACCGATCACAGATCAGTTTCACTCCTCAGTACTGTTGTTATCACAAACACGCGGAGGAATGCCTGTCAGCGAATATCATTTACATTGTTTCACTAGCAGAAGACTGTACGTTTCAACATATTACCAAGATATGAAGTTTAAAATATTTACATTTAAAAGGGAGCGTAATTATGCAGCCTCATAGTCTTAATGCGTTTTAAGAGGCTTTTAAGTATCTTCCTGCGTTGTTTTTTCCTTCACAGACTCATCAGCACACAGTCTGTCAGCTGTAGCCAAAGTATATATACATTAAGCCATAATCAGAGAGATGGATCACATCCAGGAGATCTCAGAACCCGGTAGTCCTCTGTACAGTCCCCGGATGGAGCCCGACACTCCGGACTCCCTGAATAATGCCTGTCTATTAAATGACAGTGACCTCCTGTTTGAAGACCGTGGACACTCAAATGAATTCTCCACTTTTGTTCCCGAGACCCCAAGGTAGCGTTTCTTTTGTAAAAAAAAAATTATATTAATTTTTTTTTTTTTTGCAATGTAATAGACAATTCATAATAATGAGAGCAATGACAAGAATCTGTCCTCACTTTACAGCCCCCTGACTCACAGAAGAAAACAACATTCCAAGAAAGATGACAACAGAAATGTGGTATGAGTAAAAGGGCAGAATGCTATACTATGATACAGCTCTATTTTTGTAATATGCTTGGAGTATTCACATTACAAGAATTCTCTGTGTGCGCAAATACTTGGTTTTCTGGCTACATTTCCTAAAATGTGTAGTATGCAGCAAAGCATGCTGTGGAATACTGTTACCCACAATGCAGTGGGCTTGACCTTTCATTTCCAGTGCTGACAAGAAATAATGAAGTATTATGAAATGAAAAACAGCCATTTTTATATATTATATAATATGCCAAATAACTATTTATTTCTAAAATGTAAGATTTTTTTCCATTAAAGATGCAAAAATATATATTTTGCGATGAAAGTTGCTAAACAATAATTTTTATATATTTTATAATAAAATATTATGTAAAATAAAAAATATATTATATAAAATAACCATTTACCACAATTATTTTAAAATTAAAAATGCTAAATAATAATTTTAAGTATTACAAAAATGCAAAATATTCTTTATCAAATTAAAAACAAATTACACTTAAAAATGCGAAATAATTTTATATATTATATAAAATGCAAAATAACCATTTTTTTATACAATTTAGCAAAATTATTTTACAATTAAAGATGCAAAATAATCATTTTATGTATGATTTAAAATACAGTTAACTGTTTGTTTATAAATGAAAGAATAATTTACAATAAAAAATGCAAAATAGCATTTTTATTTTGTTGGATTAGTTTTCATTATTTTGTTATTCTGTTTAATTACACATGCAATATGTAAACAATGTAATGGCTGCAAATTGAAATGATGTCATTAGAAGTACATAATACTGCAGTACTGTTTCACGTACTATTTAAAAATAAAATTAGTAAACAGTATGCTAACTGCATGCCATAGTATGCCAATTTTAGTATTGCATTCAGAAGAAATTCTGTCTTTTTGGAATTGTTATTCATAAATATTTTAATGATTTTTTTGTGCTTGGTTAAGGCAACATCATCCTGTTCAGATGGAAGCAAATGGGAAGGACGAGAACACGTTCTAGGATACCTCAGCACCACTCCAAGCTCCCAGAGAACGATGAAGCGGCGCAGGCTGGAGGACTCAAATGCAAGCACGCTACGTGGACACTCTGCAGTTACACCGGGAGCAAACAGATTTGTAACGGCCTCGTCTCTTTTATCCTCCAATTTTACATGGTTGGAGTCTCCACGTCCAGCAACCTCCTATGCTTCTCGTGTTTCTGCATCTTCCAAGCCCTCGTCCTCAGCTGGGTCTTCCACGTGTGCACTGGATCAAAGTAGTGATCCGGCATATTTAAATGAGCTGCTAGTGATGGGTCACACCTCTAAGCAAAAGACACTGAACACCAGCAATGGAAGGGAACAGAGGTCCAAAAAGACCATCTATAGCAAGACCAGATCTAAAGCCTCTAAAAGTACATCAGCACACTCTCCTTTAAACGCAATAGAGTATGAAGCTTCACTGCTGGATGCAGGTACGGATAACCAGGGTCCACACATTTAAAAGAATAGTTCACTCAAAAATGAAAATTTGCTGAAAATGTACTCGCACTCAAACCTTTCAAGTTGTAGATGAGTTTGTTTCTTCATCAGAACAGATTTGTAGAAATTTAGCATTAGATCATTTGCTCAGTTCATCAGTTGCTCAGGATCCTGTGCAGTGAATGGGTGCCGTCAGAATGGGAGTCCAAACAGATGATAAAAACATCACAATAATCCACACGACTCCAGTCCATCAATTAACGTATTGTGGAATGAAAAGCTGTGCATTTGTAATAAACAAATCCATCATTTGAGGTGTTTTATATTTTAACCGGCGTTTACGGCTAAATTACGAGTCCTCTATCCATAAAATTTCTCCAAATCTGTTCTGATGAAGAAACAAACTCATCTGCATCTTGGATGGCCTTAGAGTGAGTACATTTTTAGTAAATTTCATTTTTGAGTGAATGTCTTTAAATGTCAGGAGGATATTGCTCAATGTCTTTTCTATCATTTTTTTTTTTTGCTTTGTTTGTTTATAGCAAAGAGAATGCAAGAACCAGTACGTTCACCTGTATGTCAGATACCAGAAAACATTGTCATCATTGAGGATGATGCTGATGATGTCGCGGTTGAGAGCATGGTCCGCTCCGTTCATATGGCTGAGGATGAAGCGTATGCCAGAAGCCTTCAGGTACAACTCGCTCTCCTGATCTTTATTGAGGAACAATAGAAAAGTGACTAACTCTGTTATTCTGGTGTTTGCAGGAACAGTTTGATTTGGAGGAGCGAATGGAGCAGCAGAGGCTACAGAGCAGATCGTCAAACAGAGACAACCACATGGTCAGTTTGGGTTTTTGCTTTATTCTTATTGCTGTTTTTCTTTGGAGCTCTGAATGATGGTGCTTTGATCATACGCCAACAAAAAGTGATGGTTTCGTGCAGGTTGATCCGTATGTTGGCTTGGGCTGGATCTCTCCTTGGGCCTCAATGATCACCTCTGCATCATTCTCACACGGATCCTCTGAGCTTTCAGAGCTGCAGCAGGTCATCTTTGGAGAGCAACCCCGTAAGTCACCATACATGAGCCAAATATAACCGCTCAAACAGAAATCATTTGATTCGGTCTTGATTTCATTCATTTGAATGAAAAACAGGTTTTAATCAGTTTCGAAAATGCATAAAAATCATAATTATGTATAAAATATTAATTATAAATTATATACAATTCACAAACAAATTAATATATTAATAATTTTCATAGAACTAATAAATTAATACATTATATATTATATTTAATATCACAAATTATATATATTGTCTCTTATTCTCACCAAGACTGCATATATTTGATCAAAAATACAGTAAAAAACTTAATATTGTGAAATATTATTAACATTTGAAATTACTATTTTCTATTTGAATATATTGTAATATGTAATTTCTTCCTGTGATGCAAAGCTGAATTTTCAGCACCCATTTCTCCAGTCTTGACATAATCATTAAAGAAACATTTCTTATTATAAATATTGAGAACAGTTGCGCTGCTCATTATTTTTGTAAAAACTGTGAAATATTTTTATTCAGGATTCTTTGATGAATAAAAGAAAGCATTTATTTGAAATAAAAATCTTGTATGACAATATAAATGTCTTTCTGTCACTTTTGCATCTCTGCTGAATAAAAGTATTAATTTCTTTATTAAAAAAACGTATCAAATCCAAACCTTTGATCAACAGCGTGTAAATATTATATACTACATTATATATATATTACATATATAACAGTGGTGTTCTGAAATGAGGCAAAGTCCTTATTATTATTATTATTTTTTTTTTATTAATTGTAAATTCATGTCCCAGTCACATTTTCTTGGTTAAATAAACATTACATACACTACCAGAATAAAAATCTATTTTGTATTTTTACATTAAAAATATGACAAAGTGACAGAAATATTTGTTGAAATTGACAAAATGTCAATATGTTCATGGTAAAATTTCATGAACTCTTTGATTAAACTGTTTGCTAAATGAGAATCAAGTACTTCCTGTGTTTATATTTGCACACAATAGATCGAAAAAAGATGTTGCATTGGTTTTAATAGGATAAGAATTCATTTTTAAATTAAATTTTTGACTGATTGATTGAGTGATTGATTGATTAGCTTAGTTTTACCCAAGTAATAATATTTTTTTATGATGGATTTTTATAGTTTAAGATTGAAAGTCTGGGACAATGGTACAACAGTAAAAGACATTTAAATGAAAACAAAATAAATTTTAAGAAATTACCATTATTTACCTTAATATAATTACCTTCACAGCATTATTTATTTACCAGTATTCTTTTTAATAGTTAACTTTTAACTATTTTTGAATTTTTCGGATCATCAGTCATCAACGCTTGGTAAATATTGGTCACAGACACAGAGATTTATTTTAAATTTCACCAATTATTTTTTATTTTCAATTTCAAGCTGATTACTCACTAAAAACTCCCACAGATTATGTTTTAATGCCATTTCACGTTTTATTTTGACTTGACAAAGTGGTTATAAAAGTGTGAGTTGTTTACTTTTTTATTAGTCTTTCCATTAACAGCATTATATTGCTCATTCAGACTGATTCGCGAATGCGGGAGGCAGGATTTATCGCATGAACCAATCATAGCCAATCATAACATCCAATAATATCGCAATGGAGGCATTACCTTAACATGACTTTCACTCATTCATTCTCTATTTCCCCCCACTAAACTTTCGGCACACTTTAGGGGGTCTGTTAAAACTCAATGGGCTCAGGGGAGGCGAGAGAGATGCAGACTCCAGCTGGAATTTTACCCGCTGGTGTCGCTGTTGGACATATATATGATATTTATGATTTATACAATTTGTATGTCATATTTTGTAACATTTGCTGTTTAATTTTTATACTATACATTTTTGTTCTCATCCAATTTTTTGAGGAGGCACTGCCTCCCTTTTCTTCTCGGAGGAAATGCCCCTGAATGTATATGTATATGTATATTTAATTTTTTGATTGAACAGGCAGACAACAGGGCCGCCGTCAAACCGACAGAACTCGCAATTCCCGGCGCAGACAAGCTTCTCGCTTGCAGATGAACTTGTTTGATGACAGTCAGGGAAATAATTATGAGGTTTGATTTATACTAATTCACAGAAATCACATGCTTGATTACAATTGGTAACTCTGATATTATCTGTTGCTTTGTCAGGCTCTCTTAGCGTTCGAGGAGCAACAAGGTGCTGTAGTAGCCAAGAACACTCTGACAAAGGCCGAGATCGAACGGCTGCCCGTGAAAACATACGATCCCGCACACAGCGCAGGAAAGACAGAGTAAGTCACAGAAGAGGACGCAACAAAAGAGATTTCCCATAATGCAATATTTAAATCATACTCTCTTTACAGTTGCCAGATCTGTTTCAGTGAGTACAAGGCGGGTGAACGACTCCGGATTCTTCCATGTCTCCATGATTACCACGTCAAATGCATCGACCGCTGGCTAAAGGTCTAGCTTGCTTTAACAACACAATCCCATAATTCATTTCAGTCGCATTTTGCTAATCATTTTCTGCGTTTCTTACAGGAGAACGCCACATGTCCAATCTGCAGAGCGGATGTATCAGAGTGTGGTGGTTTTTCTTGAGCTCACAACTTCAGGACTCAGAATCTACCTCACAGCTGGTCATTTGACCCTGTTAGATTTTTTAAACAGTCTTATTTTGAGTGTTATTAAATGATTTTACATGCAAAATATCGTCCAAGGTTGGAACCAGCATAAAGCACTGCCAAGCACTGTTTTATTTAGAAAGATCCTTCTAAAATATATCAGACATGACTGTATCACACCAGTGGCAACAAACCTGTTATGACACTGTTAGCAATAGCTAAACTTGAATTTTTGACTTACAAATAGAATCACTTTATATACACTTTTTGTCCATTTTTATTATAACCGAGATAAAAAAAATTATATATGTTGCTGTTACAGTCATTCTATCGCTGTTGTTTATGTAAATATCAGGCATCATGCCATGTAGCATGTGATTTTATTCACTCTGTTTCGTAATATCGCTTCTTCAAGGCTCTGTACTTCCGGAGGTAATAGAGGGCCTCGAGCTCTTTCACCACGAATTCTCCTCGGCTGATGAGCTCTTTGATCTTCTCGGGGTCGTGCACATCTTTATTCTTGGCAAACGCAGCCCTCAGTCTGTCTCTGGAATAGTCGGCTCCTTTCGGATACTCCCGTCCAAGAAACAGCAACTTCAAGCAGAAGAATCAGAAGACAGGATTATGAATTTCTAATGCCTAGAGTCACAGATGTGTGCAGAATTGGGGATTTTTTTCATACTTTAATGTTCATTCTCTTAATATAAATGAAGACTATGGCTTAATATAGCTAGTCGATATTGGGCAGATCAGGGCTAGTTGTCAGTTTTAAGTCCAATGAATACTGTGCTACCAAGTAATACTTGGTTTATTTTTCGAGGTAATTCTGTAAAAGTTTTTTTTGCTACAAAAAAAAAAAAAAAAAAACTAGTAACGCCTCAGCAGATCAGACCAATCTTTTGCTCAACTTGTACCGATATAATATTATACACGTATGTGTGTGTACATATTTTTTTCAGTCTTGAGTATAATTACGATTTCTATTTTTATTGATTTTTGTTTTAGATTTATAAGATTTATATTTCACAATAAATACATAATTTTTACCAATATACAAAAACACTGAGAAACACCTCGTAATTCGTCATTTGACTCGGAACTTGATCGTAACTATGCTTAAAACCCCTGGGACAACTTTTCATTTCTGATTTCAAGTTTACATGAAAATTACAAGAGGGGGTTGCTACAGTTGTGAGGAAAAATTAGATTAGTGAATGTAATATTGTAAATGTTGTTTTCATGGCATTTCAAAGCAGAAGGGGGCAGCGTACTCAGTTTTGTACAGTTGCACTACCTCTGCTCGGAGTGGGTTGGCCATTTCCCAGTGATTATCTCAGCCCACCACAACCTGCGTACAATAGGCCTACACTCCAGGGGCCTCATTTATAAAATGTGCGTATGCACAGATTTGATCTTAGAGTGTGCGTACGCTAAAATCCACGGCAACGTTCATATTTATAAAAACGGTCTTTGACGTGGAAAAGTACTTCCCGCCACGTAAGGGTCTGAGCAGGCGTACGCACTTTTGCTTGTGGCAAAGTCGGAGTATGGCCGAGTCAATCGCTTGGGGCCTCATTTATAAAATGTGCGTACGCACAGATTTGATCTTAGAGTGTGCGTACGCTAAAATCCACGGCAACGTTCATATTTATAAAAACGGTCTTTGACGTGGAAAAGTACTTACCGCCACGTCAGGGTCTGAGCAGGCGTACGAACTTTTCCTTGTGGCAAAGTCGGAGTACTGCAGCTATTTGAACATCTAAGCTGCAATAATAATAAAAGCGGTGTACGTGCAAGCACCGAATTCATCATAAACAACAAAGATGCAGTGTAAATGAATTAATGTGTAGTGTAGTCAGATTTTTTTTTATTAACGGGAGTTTTTGCGAGATTAAACTGACCTTTTTAGTAGCCTAATGTTGAGAGTTCTTTACTCGCTTTCTGTACACAGTTTATTCCGTTTTTTTATTATTATTATTATTATTTTACAAGAGAACTTGCGAAGTCTTGATTTGATAGCCTACTAATGCGTAAAATAGAAAAAAAATGCATAATCTCCGACTGTTTTGAAGTCTAAAAGAATAGGCCTATGTCGTGCAATAACGGTTTTAATATATTCTATTCAATAACATTGTTAACTGTTTTTATGTATAACATCTGCTGCTTTGCTTCTGTTAAAATGAATAGAGACATCAGCCTTAAACTTTGTTTGTCATTTACATCAGTTATATTTGTCTAAAATACACTATATATTTTTGTTTCAGTACATTAATGGCACATTTGAGCAGCATTAGTAAACTGTAAATATAAAGAAATGCCAAATCACATGCAGGTTTTTTTCAGACCGGAGACCATAATCGAGTACTAATTAATTTTATTATGATATGAAACGTCCAATTTTTCTTTCAATAATGTTTTCTAAAGTTTTGCAAGAATTTCGTGATACTAAACTTTTTATTAGTTGTCATAGCAAGTGATTTTAAAGGATGGCTCACTTTTTATAAGATTTTTACTTGAATTCGTAGTTTATTCTTACTTTTGGAAAACGAATTGTTTTATAATTATTATTATTGTTATTTCTGTTGTTTCTAGAAGTAGTAATTTTGATAAGTCAATAGAAAAAATATAACCACACACACATTGTTTGTCCACAGAATAATTACGCATTATTAAATAAAAAGCGTCCCTGCACGAACCTCTACCTCCGCTAGCAGGACCTCAATTTCAGACATAAGTTTTTTTTTTCTTTGTGCTCGTCATTCTCAAGCATAGAAATTCGGATATTGGCGTGTGCTCTTTTATATGGTAATGATATTAATTAGGGGGCGTTTACAAGGCGGAGATCTGACACAAGTCAGCTGCGCACAATTTCAAGATCATTTGTGATCACATCTGGAAGACAGGCGTACGCACGTTGGTTTTCTCTGAATCGAGAAATGATCTTAGAAACAAATTTAGGACGGTTTATACGCAACATTTTATAAATGAGGCCCCAGCTGGCCTGTTACCGCTCACTCAGCCGAAGCTTTTTTCCAAAGCAGACGGCGATTAAAAACACCTTCAGTTGATAGACTATATAATGCTAAGCTTTATATTATATTGCTGGAAAACAAAGATACCACACCTACCTAAAACGGCTCGTTCTAACACGCCCCCACATATCTACCTCACTATGTGGGAAGATTTGCATAATGCCGCCCAAATGTTCACGCAAAGAAAGAAGGCGTAACTTTTATTCTCGCTGTAGTATTGTTGTTGCCGCCATGTCCTGAAGATGCTGGTGTTTCGTTGTGAAAGCGAAACTAACTAATCCGTATTTATGTCCCCACTGGATGCAACAAATGTCTCGTTTATAATGGGTTTTCATGTTTTTGAATCGTCGCTCCGGCCGGACAGGGCATGCCAGTATGTTAAGGGGAGTAACATTTCCGTCACACACTTGAGGTATTCGGCCAATCACAATGCACTGGATAGCTGGCCAATCAGAGCACACCTCGCTTTTCAGACCGATGAGCTTTGTAAAAATCGACGTGTTTCAGAAAGGCGGGACATAGAGGAGAAACAATAATGTACAGTATGTGGAAAAGAATGTTTTTTTTTTTACTTTAAACCGCATAAACACATTTCATTACACCAAATACACAAAATAATGTTCTTTTTAGCAACATCATATGACCCCTTTAACTAAAAAAAAGTCTATACACTAGCTGGTTACAAATAGTATGTTATTGCTATTACGTAGATGTAAACACATTATATTTATTAAAAAAAATATTACTTATACTTTCTGACCACAGACATCTTAAGGTATATTGCCATGCTTGTAGTGAAAGAGAAAGAAAACAAAACACAGCTACACATGAATGCAGAAATAATTTATTTAGGGCAGTCCATAGGAAGACACCTTATAATTGCGGATTAGGAGCACAGTGTACAGATAATGGTTTTGAATTAGTCATTTGCTTTTTGTTGCCAAATGTGCTGCCAAGATCATATGAAACTAATTCAAAATGTTATTTATTGAAGCACTGGCATTCAAATAATCTCCAATACACACCTTTTTGAGTTGCAAAATACATAGATCTACCTACTCTTACACATCACCAGTGTCCTTTCATTTTTGGCATGTGATTTGCAAAAATAATCTGGACAATTTTTACAAAGGAGCACAATCTATAGTGGCAAAATTCATACCGAGATGCTTCTTCACTCTTCAACATTCACGCATTTCACATCCTAAGTGCCAATACATGCATTTTTTCCTGTAAACTAATTAGGACATACAAAACACACACCTTGGAGAAAAAAAACAAAGTGTGTTCTCTTCTTTGCTATTTGATTTTAAGGCATCGAAATCTTACAAAAACACTCTTTATAACCTGAAACAAATACAAACGTGTGTGCCAATATGACAAATGGAGAAGCAGACTGTGAGCGGTGGTCTGCAGAGGGAAGGCACTAGTAGAAACGTGAGCTTCTCTCTGTCCTCTCTGATTCTGGACCATATTCATGGATTGCTGCAATGGGAGACACGTGTCTACGGATGTCTTTAATAATTGGCTCGTAGTCGTTTGTTTTCCTCTCTCAATCTTTCTATTTCCTCGATGAGTGAGTCGTTCAGAGAGTACTTCTCGATCAGACCGTGGATTTCATTCTGGAAAAGACGAATGGCATGATTAAAGGGGCGTAATAATAGTTTTTACATTTTTTTAGGCTACTTGATTATGGATTTGGTCTGTAAAAGAAACAAATGTACCAGCTGAATATAGAACTGCCGAACCATCTCCACCTGTAGATTGATAATGTCTCTATGACTGGTGTCCCTGAGGAAACAACAAGAACAGTCATTAATGACTAAATCACTGTAAT